AACCCAGAAGCCAAACTAGCCACTAAGGTACTGTTGAATTCCACTGCAAAATTCTTCTTCTTGATCCACAGAATGTGTATCTTCTATTTTTTGTGTGCCTTATGCTATTTGGAAGTGGATGAATCGAGAGGAGGTATATCAACAAAGATCTCCAGAATGTCGAGAGGGAAGGTCTTTCTGCTTATCCACACTATCTTAATCTTTCAATATTTCTTGAAAACATTTTTGAAGCCCACTCCCAAAATACTATTGTGAAGGAGAAGAAACAATTTTAGAAGCTAGTTTCGTAAGTGAAATCTTATCTGCTTTATAGTTATGCTGCTAAAAGTGGACCACATTGAATAGATTTTGATGAATGGATTTGAACCCTAAACTGACTCAGTTGGCTGGGTTAGCATCCTGTCCTCACATGCCAAAGAACTGACCCAGATGAAAACCATCCAATCCTGAAAAACTCCATCCAACCTTCCTTAAATCAGTGTGGATATCTATGTACTGTATCAGTGATAGCAATCAAGAATCTGGTTCAACGGGGTATGCCAGATCCATAACTGGCTTTTGGCATGTGCTAGTCTTCATTATTAGCATACTTTGATAATAACCCTTTTGACAGATTGTCACAGCTGGTAATATTGTCACGTGATGGAATGTCTATGAAGACTATGTGTGCCAAATGACATTGACCTCAATAGTAGGTGGGCCACAGATCTCCCATAGCTTTCTGAAGACATTGTTGCCTTGGTTCCCTTTGAATTTATGCCATTTGTCAACACATATTGATCCAATGCAAGGCTATGACCAGCATACTAATGCTCAATTTCCATTACTTTCTCCACTGCCAGGGTGGGAATTGACACTGAAAGACATTATTAGATGGAGGCACATTGGCTTCATGAAATGTGAGAAGATTATCTTTGCTACAGCCAACTGACATGGTTATTCTTTGGTGAAAAATGACCTTCTCATGAGATACTTCCACCCTTGTGTACATGGCATCTATTAATTGGACATATTGAAGGCAAAAGGAGAAGGGAACGGCAGAGGATGAGATGGTTAGATAGTGTCATCAACATAATGAACATGAATTTGGACAGGGGAGGAAAGGGGAGCCTGGCGTGCTATTTTCCATGGGGTTGTGAAGAGTCAGACACAACTTAGTGACTGAACAAAAATAATAGGACCTAGTTCAGGAGCGATGAGTTATAAATTGAAGAGTTGGAGGGAAGGAAAGAAGGGTTTGCTCCTGAGATTTTCTAAGACCCCTATCCTAGATCTTTTGCTCGGGAGACTTTCTTTGTGGGTAGACAACTTCAGGAATGTTGGTAAACAAATTTGAAAGGAACCAAGAAGCAAAGAGGAGGTGGTTGATTATAGTATTAGATTGGCAAGCGGAGGCTCACCCAAGAGGTATGGCCCAACACCCAGTTGCATTGAAGAAGAAGAGATCATTCAAGCAGGTGTTTATTCTTCACAATAATTACTAACCTTACAGAGATTTACTGCATTCTTTACCATCTTGATTTTGAGAACTGGCTTTTCAAAGACACCTCCTTCACAGCCTACACAAATCGTAGGTGGCATTCTTCCAGAGCGGTTTAGTCTAGTCTACAGGCCTGTAATGTATTCAAACCAGATCCAACGTTGCTTAGTTTCATGGTCCAGGCAAGGTTAGTCAGAGTCTGCTATAGGTTGAAAACGCTGAAATCTCCTAATCTAGCCACCGACTAATCCATCTTCTGGCAGAGTTTGTTTTGCGAAAGACCTGTATGTGGGAATGACCTTGGAGACTGGGCCCAGAGACACTTAGAGAATTTCAAATCAGATAACAGTTAGCATAGCCCACAACTACATAAGAGAAAGAGACTCAGAAGAGACCTTGTCTAATTTCTTGAGACTGTAAAGGAGATGGCGGGAGATTTGTACTTTCAATTTGCAAGATTCAGTTAATGCATTTTTACAATAAGGTAGAATTAGACCATCTGGGTGTGTTTCCTGTCTGGTCCACTTGCTAAGGCTGACAAGACATCAGCAATTATTCAAGCAATTCACATAATTGTTAAAAAACGAATGTGGTATTCTCCTTGTGGAATACCACAAGAGAGAAAAGCTGGAAGGAGCAGACAAAAGGGCTTGCTACTGAACTTGTAGTCTAGAATTCATTGGCTTGATGTCCTTGAGAACCTGACAACACTTTACAACTGTTTATTGGGGATACCATAATCTCTTCTTTATCCATTTTGAATATCTTCACCAACTTGTTCTTAAGCTTCTGAAGAGCTAGATTTCCAGAACAGGGGGCTAGGTTCAATGGGATTGGTTAAGTTGTAACTCAGAGGGTTGTGTGAATCCAACAAAATGTAGAATTCATTTCCCACATTTATATTTATATATCAGTTTTGATTTTCTGGTGTTTTCTGAATAGCAAACGATAGAAGGCAGTATTTGCAAGAATTTGAAACATTCTTTGCTCAGGATGAGATGATAAGCTTGGCCCTTAGAGGGCAGATCTTTTACTCCTTTGCCATAACTAACCCTGGGTGCAGTTGTGGCCACCAGGAGGCAGACTCTTCATTCCTTGCTATTGTTTCATTTCTCCAAGTGCAATAGCAAAGTAAGTCCACAAGAGGGCAAAATACTTTAATCTTTCAAAATAGTCCCTCTTTTTTTCCCTCTGAGAACAGTTGCAAACTGTAGCCACCAGGAGGCAGACTCTTCATTCCTTGCTATTGTTTCATTTCTCTAAGTGCAATAGCAAAGTAAGTCCATCAGAGGGCAATATACTTCAATCTTTTGGAATACAATAGTCTTTTCCCTTCCTCTGGGTGCAGTTTCAAAGTCTGGCTGCCAGATGGCCACCAGGGGGCAGACTCTTAATTCTTTGGAATAGTTCTAAAATGTTTCTTTCTGGGTGCAGTGGCAAAGTATGGCCAGTGGGAGGCAGAAATTTCACTTCTCTTTTTATATGGATGCAGCTGTACTGGGCCCAGAGAAAGAGAGAAAATTGCTTTAAATAATGTTATTTAATCTCTTTTTCCCCTTGCAGAACTTTCTCTAAAATATTAACAATTCCCCCCCAAATAAATTTTTACTTATAGCCAGTGTTTTTATGTGGTTTTTCCAAAAACAAACACAGGGCGGATGGAGGAATTCCTTCAAAGTTTTTCACATCCTCCTAATTTGGCATCAGCTGCTGATTTGATTTGTAATTCCAGTCATTTGACTGCCCGCAAGTGGAGAAATTGGTTTACCTCTCAAGTTCTCAATTTGGTTCACCAGTTCCTCAATGTCATCACTAGGGGGCAGTCAAAGCTAGTTATTTTCCTAAGCTAGAGATCTCTCTTTTCTGTAGTATGCTGTTAAAAGAACTAGTGTAGTTCTTAAATCTTAAAGGGGTTTCCAAACTTGGCAACTTTAAGACATGTGGACTTCAACTCCCAGAATTCCTCAGCCAGAATGGCTGGCTGAGGAATTCTGAGAGTTGAAGTCCACAAGTCTTAAAGTTGCCAAGTTTGGAAAGTCCTGTTATAGCTTGTCAACAAAAAGCATCCCAATGTGTCCAAAACAATAGTTATGGATGGAATGAATTGGCCGATACTGATCATTGTTCCTCTTCTCATTTTTACAGTGTTCTCCAAATGAGAAAAAAAGGGGTCAAAGAGGATCTTTCTGAATGCTGAATTCACTTCCGTTTTTGAGATTCCTTAGGACCTGTTGGTGGAGTTGAGCTAAGGATGGTGCTGGCAATTCTTTGAACGTTAGAAGAACCGGATCTGCGTGAATTCTGATAAGACGCTGATGCTTATGCACTTGAACCTGTAGGACAGGAATTTGCTTCTCCCTCTTTTGCAGTTTTGAGACTGTGAATTGGCCCCTTGGGTGGTTTCTCCTGGAAAAACGTGAATATGTATTTGAAGTGGTTCTTGTTTTAAATTCTGCAGATTCCCTCTGAAGCAGGATGGCGCTTGCTGACGGAACAAACTCATGAGAAATTGACTGTACCTAGGAAAAAATGAATGTCCTCGTGTTAAGCCCCGATGTTGCTTAATTAGATGGATAAAATAAATGGATTACTCTTATACACTAAGGAATTACCAGTGACAATGAGCAAGAACAGTTCTTTTTTTGGGGGAAAAATAATAATAATAACCCAGGCATGTCTTATGATAAGAAGATGAAGAAAGTATCCGAGATAAACCATGACCTGCCTTTTTCCATTCTCAGAAGAATCTGTCTTCTCATGTTTTAAGAATAATTTGCTGTACCTTTACTATGACTTTCACGTTTCGCTGGGGAAGGTCCAGAGCCTAGAAAATTTCTCCAGAAGACCCTGTTCTTCTCTTCCAAGTCATTCGAAGAGCTTGAGGTGAAAGATGGAAGATCTGACGTGGGAAGGAACTGGGAAGCAACCCTATTAAGAAAACAGGATTATGTTTCTTCTTGAACCTTCTTTTGATGCAGCTTCCAATTTTGCCACATGCATTGTTTTTAGGTCAGATGAAGGTCCACCAGGAACGGTGAAGAATAAAGTCTTGAAGAATGGAAGGATTTTGAAGCAGGCAACAACATGTTGTTAATAGATATCATTAGGAGCTACCGTGCACATATTTTTGAGGAAAGGAAATTCCATCCTCTCAAGGCTACCATTAAAGGCTCTTTATAACTGATTACTTACCATTTTAATGGCCTTAAATGATAGTTCCATGAGGTCTCCTGTGTAGGAACGTGGGACAGTGATAATAGGGTTGAGGGGTTACATTCTCCACTACACTTTTCGAAGCAGGAAAATTAGACATTCAGATTGAACAAGGATTGGGTATGAGCAGTGTAAACACAAAGATTGGTCTAGGGTTTTTTTTGAGTCAAGTTGGAGACGTGTGGTTGAATTTGCTCCCCAAAACTATCTGGTTACAATGAAAATTAATATTTCATATATTATTAGAATATTAGTTCTCTCCTCCCTTCCCTGCCAAGCAATTAATTAATAGGATAAAGTCTGCAACTTTTTAGAAGTTTAACTCAGTTTATTATTGGAAGAGTTGGCATTTTGAGAATTAGAATTGTTTTAAAAAAACATTTTGCATAATATAAACATGTGAGCTCTATTTCAAAGACTAAGAATATCAGTTATCATCCCTAAAAGGTTTTTTTTACTACAAACTGAGGATCATTTAGGAGATTAGTTCATTTCCTCCAACTTATCGCATCCTTCTGAAAGAAATTCCAAACCTGTTTGGTATAATGTTATCAAGATTTGTTCACCTTGGAGTACGTCTTCTATGGAACTGAATAGGAGGGTCCTTAGAACCACAAGTTTACTCAGAAGCTTTGTTGGGTCAATGGGATAGATCTGAAGAACCAACTTTCAGATCCTCTCAGTATCAAATCTGATTAGTTGTCGATTAGCCACACGTGTCATGGCAAATTGATCATCACCACCTCTTCTGAAGATTGTGAGGAAATAGTGGTTCTCTAGACACAATGAATTCTGAGGTCTTCTACTACTTGATGCTTGCAACTTTTTCTCATTAGTAAGGGTCCTTAATGTAGACCCACCTCATTGTTCTATATATAATACCACATAGAGTCTCAGTGGTCCTTGTAATCTGATGCAATCCTCGGGAGAAAGTTTTGAGAACATCCTCAAACAAGGAGGGCGAGAAGCTGTCCTAGATCTGCTAATGGAAACTTCTCCATCAGACATTGTATGCTGCTTGCTTCTACCATCACTTTTATTCTCTAATCTTTGAAAATAAGTTGTTTGTCCAACTTCTGATGGACCTCACTCCCATCAACATGGACGAAGACATCATGGTGAGATCACATGTGAGTACCCCCATGATGAGGTAGTGATGCAAGAGCCAAGCATTCCTGCCCATAGGAGAATGGACCATCTATAAGTTCTGCAGAACTTTGAAAAGCCAAACATCTTAACTGATTCAGGCCTTGGATTGATATAGAAGTTATTTTGAAATGCCACAAAATGCTATCTTTGAGGCAAAATGTGCAGATGACCTACATTTGGATAAATTCATGGAAACTAGGTTTACTAGAAAACATCTTGGCCACTGGTAGCAACAAGATCCTGCAGTAATCCACTGATCCACCAAAAGATATTAAATTAGAATACTCAGCATTCCTCATTGATCACAAATCTGGGGAGTTTTCTATTTCCCCTCTTTTCTGGTATACCACATTCCCATGCAAACACCAGACACTAAAAGGGCAAGTGATGCTACTTTGGAATCTATGGAGTCAAAAACCTTGATTGCCTGGGCTTTAAACCTAAATGGGACCCCAAGACAGGAGAAGAAACAGTCTACAACTTCTAAACCACTGGAAGAACAACTTAGATAAATGTCTTATCTGATCCATAGGTACGGTGGATGGTGTGTTTTTCCTCCTGGATGCACCCTCACTTTTTACATATACAAATACTTATAAAAATACTAGCTGTCTTTACAACATCATGTCCACTGAAAGTTTAGCAAGATGATTGTCCACAGAAAGTTTAGTAAGATGATTGGGAATGCATGGAGTATAAGGCATTGCGGTATTTTGCCAGTCGGGATTGTTGTGACAATGCGATGCTTCGGGGTGTCATTGACCGGCTGTACATCTCAGCCCAGGGTCGAGGGGGACGTCGGACATCAGGCAGAGGACGTTTGGTCCTGGTGTTGGTAGTAGCAAGGGCAGTTGAGGGCATCTTGCTGTCACATAAGGCCTTGGTCTCACTACCAGTGATGGCCTCAGATTCTGGAGGACATGAACTCAGAGTTTCTATCTTACACGCTTCTGGAAAAACTTCAAGGATGGGTCCCGGAAGGTCAACTTCAATAGGAGGGGGCTGGATAATTATTTTCATCTCTGGACCCTGGGAGATGCAGGATGAAGTGTCCATCAGCCCACATACTGTGGTGCATGTCTTGGCCTGTGGAATTAGAGCTTTGACTTCACCCTCGTCACCATTGGTGATGGCCTTTTGGTCACTGCCAGTGAGGGCATTGTTACCAGAGCAGGAGTTGTAGACTTCCACAGTACACTCTTCCGCAGCTAACTCAAGGACTGGACCAGGAATGGTGACCTCAATCGGCGGAGGGTGGATCACCACTTTGTTTGAAGGTCCTTGTGTTATGCAGCGGGCTGTGCTGTTGAGCCCCGATGGGACAGAGGATGAGCGAGTTAGACGTTGTGGAGTAGAGGAGCAATCGGAGACAGATGTTGAACGGGGCAATGCAGGGCGTTGGGCGCCACTGGTGATACAGTTGGTTGAGCTTTTGATGATACATTCATTGGGGTAGCTGGTGAGGACTGCACCCGGGATGGTGATGCAGACTGGCGGAGGCTGAATCACCACTTGCGAATCGGGACATGTGGTTGTACAACAGGGAGTATCTCCACCAGAAAGGGCAACTAAGCCTGAAGTTTTGGTGACAATGGCTGTGGAGCCCGACTCACAGCTCACCTCACAGCCATTAGTGAGGCATGAAGTCTGGCTTTCCACCAGGCACTGATTTGGAGAGGTCTTGAGGCTCAATCCAGGTAAGGTCAGGACCAGGGGAGGTGGATGGATCACCACTTTGGCATCTGGGCAGGAGGTGACGCAAGGAGTGGTGACACACTTCACACCTGAGCCAGACATTCTGCTGGGAGGATGAATCTGGAAAGGAGACAGAAAGGAGACAAGCAAAATTATCTGGGCGTTCAGCAGCCACATATGGTGAGAGATGGGCAGGTTGACCTCACCTTTTTTCTGAGAACATTCACTTCGTACAACAAGGTGAACCACTGTTTCTCTCTAGTTAACCTAGTAGAACTGGTTGGAAATATCATTTGTTCTTATTTGGGAAAGAGATTCTGATCCCAACTGTCCTTCCTTCCTTCCTTCCTTCCTTCCTTCCTTCCTTCCTTCCTTCCTTCCTTCCTTCCTTCCTTCCTTCCTTCCTTCCTCTCCTTTCCCCCTCTTTTCCTATATAACTCAGGTCACGAACATTCTCAAAACCTCCGCTCTTCTGACAGATGTCCCACAACTAGTCTCCCTCTTTGTTTCATTCTCTATTTTCCTGCCAACACCTTCAATCCACTCTCATTCTGCTCCCTTTCCCTGTCTGAGAAGCCAGATTGACAGGAGCCACAACTGTGGCAAAGCAGCTCTTACGTCTCACTTTAAGAAAACTCACCTTAGCCAGGTGGTGTGTATGCACAGCTATTTCACAAGCTTTATAGTTTGCAAGAGGATGTGGACACTCCCTGTTTTATTTTTCCCTCCCCTGTTTAACTACATCTTTGAACTGGTTTCAGGAAGCCAAACAGCTCCAGATTTGCTCAGAGATAAGAGAGCAGCAGAACACTAAACTGGTGAGGAAGGAAAATTCAATGTACGGTAGGGTGGGGGATCTCAGAAGGAGGAAATCAATCGGCTCAGCAAAGGGATGAGCAATGGGTCTTTCCAAATTCAAGTTTCTTGGCGGAGCGAGTTACAGTCAGATAAATCCTTTTTCCAATGTTGCTCATAACTGGGATGAAAGCACCGTTTCCTTCCTCCCAAATTGGGAAATGTATTCTGAATTGTGGAACCAAGGAGAGTGCTGGACACATATAAATATAAATATCTAATGCTCCAGAGGAAATTAAAGGGGGTCTTTTTGAGAAGAAAGACATTTGTCAATGTTCCCATCTTAAATGGAGACTGCTCTTCCAAAATGGTCTCAAGAAGAGGCATGTTCTCTTGTATGCTAGAGAAGATGGCACCGATCTTCTAAGAAAAATGTTCTTGGAGCCAGTTCTTTAAGTAAGAGATTTAAAGTTCTTGGGTTAAAATGATTCCATCCATCCAAACATTCATCCATCCAATTTCTGGATAAATTCATTTGAGTTTTCTTTTATTCTTAGGGGTGCCAACCATACCTCCCCCTTCATTTTTCTCTTTTCTCAAGTTCAACATTTGCATTTTGGCAAATATCTTCTAAGCTTCTAAGTTTTTAGCACTTAATATGGCTGATAAATGTCAGAAAGAAAAAAGAGTCTACGATTGAATGTCAATTTTGATTGGAATCTGTCTGAAGGAGTTTTCTATCTGGGTCATGACAAAAAATCAAAGTCAAAATTTCACCTGGGCCATCTGGCTCTGGATCTAAATACCTGATAGATTTGGTGATGCATCAAACAGTGGTTATAGCCTTATAGCTCTTTCATAAAGTAGCTGTACTTTCTCTGTCAGGTGACCATGCTCAGATGGGCTGAGAAATGAGAGACTCTTCTATTTGCATTGATGGGACTTCTACGAGTTTAAATAACAGGGAGGAGCAACTATGAGGAGGTACCAAAGAGGTTGAGTTTCCCAAGATGAAGCTGGTGGTCTGGGTGTGATGGATGGATGGGCCCATAGATATGTTCTCATAGAGTTCATATCTTAGGAACAATGAATTGTCAGGGATAAACCAGAGAGGAACCAGACCTGGTCATCAAAAGAAGCTTCTTGTGGTTCTCCAAAGATGGAGGAGAAAGCTAAAATGAGAAGGAACCTCACGTTGAGTACTCCCATGCTCTCCTCTCTTAGCAAGACCTTCTCAACTGAGTAGCACCTACCTGCTGTGTCACCTGTGAGTGCCAACAACAAGGAACAGGTATGTCGAAGGCATTCTGCTAACAAGGGGAAAGGTTCACAATGGGAATTTTATCTGAATCATCTCTACTGGAAGGGAAGGTGGCAGTTACCAACAAAGATGTCTATCTATGTGCCACAAAGGGTTTGCACAGATGAAATCTTTGTGTAAAGAATTTACTTTGGGGAAATGAATACATCAGAGAACAATTTCTGGCAAATTTGAAACCAAGCCTTGCTCCCCAACATTTTATGGAATTTTAGGTGAAATATCCCAAGAGGCAACTGATAGGGAAATCTCCCACCATCCAATCAGAGTTGAAGAAGCTTCTTGGATGAGAAGCGAAAACAAAGAAAAAACATCAACATCCAGTTGCCTCTTCAAAAAAAAAAAAAAAAAACACCTTTGGGACAACTATGATCTGGATGACTGAGAATCGCCATAAACATTTTCTGGAATATATACAACTAAAAAAAAGTTCTACGCAAAAGGTCAAACATATTAGGGGAAGTTAGGAATCAAAATGTTTGCAGATATACTTTTTCAATCTCTAATTTTTTAGAAAACCACCTATTGTAGCTCAGACCACTTAGAACACTTCCCAACTAATGAGAAAAAAAAACAACTGTTTGAAATTCCTCTCCTGTACTAGCCCCTGCCCCAAATTAAGCAAAAATTTTTTTTTCAAATGCTCTGTTTGTAAAATAGGGATTCTAAGCAACGTGGTTTTTTTTACCTCTTAAAGATACAACTGACTAATTCTGAAGTCATTATTTTACTGAGAGGGAGAGATAGTTGTGTTGACCAAGAGGTGCAGTGAAATTAAATTAAAAAGGGGTGTGGACGCTGTTGCCAAATTACTTAGGTTGCTAAATGTCAGCATTTAAGGAACTGGTTTTGACAGGTCCCTGAAAGCGTTGCTTTCATTTCTGAAAATAAAGGGCTTGTGAGTTGAAAGACGCCGCAGATGAAAGAAAGCTTGAATACAGGACAGAATTTTTCTATTGCTAGTTTAGGATTTGACACAGAGAGAATGGAGGAAGATTTGAAGTCCAGGGATATTAATGGAAACTTGATTATTGCTCTGTTTTTAATTTTTCCATTTTTAGAACAAATTAATCCACTACACTGAGAACTCTAGAGGTCTTCATTTGAACCAGATCTATATTTCATAGAACATAAAATAATGAAGGGTCCTTAGAGGTCTTCTAGTCGAACCTCTTGCTCAACAGGAGACCTTATGCCATCCTGGACAATCTCTTCTTGAAAATCTCCAGTGATGGAGCACCCACAATTTCTGGAGGCAAGTCGTTCCACTGGTTAATTGTTTTATGCTATATATTTTTTTTCTTATTTGAAATCCAGAGGCATGAATTTAGATCTCTCTCTCTCTCTCTGTGTCTCTCTCTGTCTCGCTCTATCTCTGTCTCTGTCTCTGTCTCTCTCTGTCTCTCTCTCTCTCTCTCTCTTTCAAATTCTGTCCATCTGCTTAGATTTTTAAAGGAGAAATTGTATCTGGCTCCTCAGACATTTAGTTCATTTTAAAGATTAAAAGATAAATAAAATTAGCACCAAACTATAATAAATAAACTGTTAAGACTTGGGACAACTTTGTGCACAAATCGCTCTTCTAAAGAATAGATTGTTTGAAATTAAAAAAAAAAGATTTGGGAGGAAAAGAGGATTATCTCAAGGAACCGATAGGAAGTGAAGTTTAAAAAATGGAGAGAGTGAAAAAAAGAAGCTTTTAAAGATGTACAAAATGATTCCAATTTTATCAATGTGAAACAGAGGAGAAAGCAGAGGAGAGGAAAAATGAAAGAACATGAGAGCTTCCAGTAATGGAAAACTGGTGTATTTTTTTCACCCACATGGAAATAAAGAACGAAATCTGGAGGAGAGAGAATGAATTTGAAAATCTGAGGAGTTTAAAACAATCCCATCTTTGAAAGAAAATGGAAAATCATAAGAAAAAAAAAAGGCAAAGAAAATGCGAATGTCAGGAATGTCAACCGGCCTCCGGTACAAAACAGGAGAGAGGAAGATTAAAATAAAATAAAACAAAATAAAAAAGGGTAAACTGAAAAATATAAAGAGAATTCAAAAAAGAGTAAACGGTAGCGACCAGTAAAAACAAGCACTCTTCCTTACAGTCAAATAATCCCTAAAGAAGTCGAAAACATGAATGTAAGAACATAAAAACACTCTGGGACAAAATGGGAGAGGGGGGAATATTAAAATAATTTAATAGTTGGTTCTTCACCCCTCTCCTCACAGTAATCCCAGTCAGACTTACCTGCTTCCCTCCACGCCTGGATCCTAAATCCCAAGAATCTGTTTTAGAGAGGCTCTGAGCTTTTTATAACAATTTCTAGACAGCCCTGGAGGGGATGAGGTGGCTTTCTCAAGACAAAGCTCTTAATTAGATCCCAACCAAACCATAGCATTTGGTCTAATTGCCAGAACTGTGGCTATAAGTCAGCACTTTAACTTGGATGTATGACCTGAACTTTGCACTGTCCACATGGCTCTTTTTATAGACCAGCAAAGGGACATCCCATCCCATCCCATGGGGTTTCTTATTAGCCTAAGCTCAACTCCAGATCTTGGCTTGTAGCACGTTATATGGGCTGCTGCTTTGGGAAAACCGTGGTGTGCTGAAACGTACTTCACCACCTGGATAGGCTTCTTGTTTTCTCCTTTCAGAATATCCCCTTAGTCAAAAGGTTTCCCAGCACCTCCCTGGACCAACCCAAAATTTCCATAACCACATCTGAGAGACGGTTGAGATGATGTAAGAATAATATCAACCCGACTTGAAATCTGGGGCTGTTTATACAAGCCTACATGAGTCGATGCTGCCTTAATGAGGCCACCTCTTAATACATCCAAAACCCCATTTCACCCCCTCCCCCCCCTTTTTTTAAAAAAAATAGAGAATAAGACAAGGAGGATGATCGGATTCTAGAGGACTTGAAAGTAGGTGACATCTTAATCTTAATCAGAATAGAGCTGGATGGGATCTTGGAGGTCTTCTAGTCCAACCCCCTGCTCAAACAGGAGACCTTATACAATTTCAGACAGGTGGCTGTCCAGTCTCTTCTTAAAAAACTCCAACGATGAAGCACCCACAACTTCTGGAGGCAAGCTGTTCCACTGGCTAATTGTTCTCATTGTTAGGAAATTTCTCCTTAAATCCAGGTTGCTTCTCTCTTTGATGCAGTTTCCCTATATTGTTTCTTGTCTTTCTTTCTGGTGCTTTGGAAAATAAGGTGACCCCCTCTTCTTTGTGGCAGCCCCCAAATACTGGAATACTGCTATCATATCACTCCCTAGTCCTTTTTTCTAGACTGGTCATACCCAAATCCTGCAAATCCTGTTCTTCATATGTTTTACCCTCCAGATCTTTGATCATTTTAGTTGCTCTTCTATGACGTGTTGCCAAAGTCTCATGATTCGAGGACAGTTATTTCACTTTAGCTTTTGTCTGTGTGGTTTTGTCTGCTTGGACATCCAATATCTAAGGGGCTGCCACAAAGAAGAGGGGTCAACCTCTTCTCCAAAGCCCCTGAAGGCAGGACAAGAAACAATGGATGGAAACTAATCAAGGAGAGAAGCAACTTGGTATTAAGGAGAAACTTCCTGACAGTTAGGACAATTAACCATGGGAACGACTTGTCTTCAGAAGTTCTGGGTGCTCCAACACTGCAAGTTTTAAAGAAGAGATTGGGCAACCATTTGTCTGAATGCTATAGGGTTTTTTTCTTGACAAGGGGTTGAACTAGAAGACCTCCAAGATCCTTTTCAACTCTCTTATTCTGTCTCACTTGCAGATACAACAGGAAGGGAGACAAGAAGAAGACCTACACACAGACACAACACACTCCTTCATTTTCCAGGAGAAGGAGGCAAAAAGACCTCTGTTTCATTTTGTTGTGAAAATAAACTCTACCACGCTACCAAAGAAAACCTACCCAAAAATCTATATTCTCCTGAAGACAAGATGGAAAAACACACCCAGGGAATGAGAAGATAGATTTGGACATATTATTAATTTGAACGGGGGAGGAACGGTTGCAAGGAATTCCTCTAAGTCTTGCCGTAGGTCAGTAAAAAGGTCCAGGTGATGGGTTTTGAGGAGAAGGAAGGAATGTCAAGGATTGAGCCTCCACATGTAGTCCAAACCCATTAAATTATCACACTGCATCCTAGAGACGCCCATGTGTGTTTAATTTAATTTAGGCACTTGGTGGATGAAGCGTAGCTGAGACATGAGTATAGCAAGAGGATTTACAGTGATGAGTGAGTGATAATCCCACAAAACATTGTGGTATAATTATGTCTGCTTGATGTTTAGTCAGCTGACCAAACTCTTGAGGACCATCTACCATACCTTTGGTGTAACACATAGCTAGGACAGGTGCTTGGGCTGGACACAAGATTTCTCCCAGCCTTTGGGAAGGTTAGTGATGGCCAAGGATCGGTGCAAATCAAAAACCCACGGTTAGCTGGGTCTGGATGACACACAAAGCCCTAAACTAGGGTTTTCAATCTGGAACTTGGATTAATGTGTAGGCCATGTCAAATCCGAAAAAGGCACCCCATTCCTGGTTGAACATATGGAAGACACCCAATTGTAGAAGTGAGGAACAACAATCAGAATGAGAAGCTACAAATTAGAGACTGAAATTTAATTGGGACATAGGATGTTGGTGCCTTAGAAAAAAGAAATCCAAATTTGCAGGGAAGGGAATATTTAGCTTGGTAACTGTAAACGGGAACTGGCGCCTGGAATTTTAATTGCTCACAAGCCCAAGTTGAGTCAGAGGGGGGTGAAATGGCTGCTTTATAAAAGCTGTAATTTTAAGCTGTGTCAGTATATATAGTGGACTTTAGGAAGTCATAGGGGACCATTCCAATCTATATTGGTCAAATTCCACTTTGAGAAATGCTGTGCAAACTCAACCGTCATGACCTCTAAACCATGACTGGGGACTTAGCCTCTTTCTCGAACCCATTTCAGAAAATGCTTCCCACAAAAGACTCTTTGTGATGCTCTCAGTAAGCTTAGCTCTGACTTATTACTTCTCTTCCACCAGCAACCCTGCTTTGAAAAGGCAGCAGATCCTTTTTGAGATAACCAAGTCTTTCAAGAAGACGTACCTTGAGTTTACTCAACTTCACGCTGAGATTGATGGGCGAATGACGCCCTCTAAAGGAAGCAGGGCAGAAGACATGGCACAAGTGTTCAAGAGTGGCAGCAGCTGGCACATATTTGCCAAGGCTTCACCCATGAGATGATATATCAGTCCAAGAAGGCTTGATCAGTCGATGGTCTCTTTGCAGAATGATTTTCTCACGCTATAGGTTCATCTCCAGAATTCTACATTGAATTTTGAGATCAGAGCTTCGGTGGTTGTCCTTAGTTTCCTGTCCCCTCAGTTCATTTGCATATCACCTCTCCTGTTTTTGCACATTGCCCCTTTAGCATCACTGATTGATAATGAAGAGCTAAAACTCTTCTTCTCAATGACAGTGGGTGGATAACTTGGTGAGATGGGGCCACGTTTCTAATCAAAATCCAATTAAGTAGATCCCTGCATATTTTTTGTCCTGAATATTATAGGGTATCTTATACCTGACCACTCTTCTATATCTTAAATGATTTATATATCCAATTGCTCTACAGCTTCTCTTTGGTTTATTATTTTGTTCTACAAGCATATCCATTCTCTAGTTTGAAAGGGCACATAGTTCCAAGAACATCTCTCAAAGCACTTTCCAAAGTTCTTATCCTGGATCAAATATTATTTCTGGGATATTTGTAACTCACAAACACCATACGATGTTCTTGTTCTGGAATAAATTTTACAACTCAGCTCCAGAGTTGTAGTGTGGAAAGATTAGCATTTGAAGGTTCCATTCTGAGGGAATATGACTGACTCTCCGAGGTTAGGTTTCTGAATCAGTTCCTGAAGTCACTTTATGGGTTAAATCAAAGAGTATTACTTCAGATGGTTTTTAGGATTAAGTTTATATCAATAAACTTGAGGGGAGGAATATTTCCAGAATACAGATCACAAAGTGAAAATAATGGACCCTCTATAGTTTGATAGGCTTAAAATGTCCTATACTTACATTCCTGTGATCTCTCATTGTGTTAAATTAATGTTAATTGTCCAACCTTGAATGATAGTTCGGTTAATTGAGTTTCTTCATTTAATCTTAGCTGAGCAACCTGAATGATATTATCTCTGTTTCTTAGAAAAAAAAGCATCATTTTGATGCTCCTTCTGGCCATCTCCTTGATATTCTGGTTTAAATGTTCTCCTGACTCAGAATTCTAAGAAAGGGAAATTCTTCTCTGAATGAAGCTTATGTGTTGAAACCCCACCCAAAGCAGCTGAGTTTAACGCAGCTAGTCCTCACATTTAATTTCATTGAAGTTAATTCCAAACCCAGAAACGTTGAGAGTTTCTTTCTGAATTTTGCTATGGCAAGCAAAATTAGGGTAGCATTTAAATCAGTGTTTCCCATCCTGGCCCACTTGAAGATGTGTGGATTTCAACTCCTAGAATTCTCCAGCCAATTTCTCATTATGTTAAGGGTTGGGGAAGGAAGGAAGGAAGGAAGGAAGGAAGGAAGGAAGGAAGGAAGGAAGGAAGGAAGGAAATAGAAGGCAAAGTATTAGGTATGTTCACCAAGTTAACTACTTTATACAGGTGGGATAAAGAAAATATAATAATAATAAAGAAACCTCTTTAAAAGAAATCTGGAAGTAGACACATGGAACTCTGGACTTCAGAAATATTAACCACCAAGACTTTTAGCTGAATTTATTTGGGATTGCTTTAGGTTACGAAAGAAATCCAATTTTTTTCCCCTAACATTCCTTGAATTTTCACCAGTTACAGCCAGGCATCAGGTGGGAAAGCCATTCTGGATCGGTAGAGTGTCGCCAGAGCCGATCTGTATCTAGAGCTCGGCTCCACTTCTAGACTGGACAGATCTTCATCGATGAAGTCAGATAGCATCGCTCGTCCTCCTACCCCCATTCCTCCACGTGCGCAGGGGTTATGCTGTGTAATCTGCAAAAGTTGGTTGGGGCAGAAGAGGGCAGGACCTGGGATGGTCAATACGAAGGGTGGTGGCCGTATTGCCACCGTGGAAGGCGGACATGATGCGTAGCAGGGGGATCGCCTGTCCATTTCAGCAGATGGAGGTGACTCTACAAGGAAAGAAAACCGGGGACAAGAAAAGGACCATCAGAATGGGCATAGCTGACTGGACCTTTCTGAAGGAGGCTAAGAGCAGCTATTGGTGAATGATGGTCTCTCTGCCTAACCTACCCCTGAAAGATTATTTTAACGTTACATGCAAAATTCTAGAAAGATAGTCCTACATATTAAGAATGATATTAATTTTTAGAGCACCACTCCTTTTGTAATTTAATGGTCACCAGATTAAGTTAACAATTCCAGCTCTGACTTCAGCTCCCAGCTTCTGGGAAATAAAATCGGCCCCAATTTGTATTTTTAGAAGCTCTCTTTTGAGTCTTACCTGGTTGTCTAGGTGAGGAGGTATCTCAAGAAGAAGCTTTGAGCAGCATTGTGTGCCGTGTGCATTTTTATAGCACTTTGAGGGCAGGGATTGAGAATATTTTCCCCCTCCCAAACACGACAGTGTGAGTTGACGCCTCACTGGGGTTTAATGTCATCTTTGCTCCACCAAATTACTTTTAATTATTTGCTTCCCTGGTTGTGAAGGCGGGATTGTCATAATCCTTGATAAGAGCATTCAGATTCTGTATAATTCTTTTCAAAAGGGAGGAAGGGTGTTCTCCAAAGTCATCTTGTTATGTTGGTGGGATACATCTTAGCTGTCTCCTGTTATTGGAAGGGGAAATGTCTTTCCTTGGGTGATGCAACACCCATTGCTAGTTGTCGTTGTCTTCTTCTTCTTCTTCTTCTTCTTCTTCTTCTTCTTCTTCTTCTTCTTCTTCTTCTTCTTCTTCTTCTTCTTCTTCTTCTTCTTCTTCTTCTTCTTCTTCTTCTTCTTCTTCTTCTTCTTCTTCTTCTTCTTCTTCTTCTTCTTCTTCTTCTCCTCCTCCTCCTCCTCCTCCTCCTCCTCCTCCTCCTGCCACATGCCTATTGAGGACAGTGATATAGATTCTCTGCTGGATGTAAGATGCCTTGGGCAAGGAATTAAGACTTATAAAATGACACTTGTAGGGCAATAAACATCTTAATGAGGACTTCCTGTGTATCTCCTCTAAATATCTTCTCCTGGGAGATTCTCTAACCGCAAATTGGCATAGCTCTTCCTTCTTTCCTTGACTGGGAAACACTGAAGCTGGTTTGAAATAACTACTGTTGACATACCTAAGCAGAAATGGAAGACACTCATTTCTCTGGGTTTGGCTTCCTAAAACCCAGCAGAGCTAATCTCCTAAAACCAACCAGCAGTTCTTAGGATGAATGCTGATTCAGAGGAAGGGGAATCTACTAAAATTATAGTTGTGTGGCCTTGAATATTAGATACAAATGAGCAGTCTTTCTTGATCTGGAGAGCATCAATCAGGGTAAAATCAGGAGGGATGAAGGAGCTAGATTAGGAAGACTTGTGTCACTATGAAAGCTCCCTGAATGTCTCTTGAGCCTACCTACCTCACAGGTTGTCGCTACAGAGAAAAACTGGAGAATAATATGTAGCTCTGGAGGAGAGATGGCACATCAAACGGAGAAAGAAAGGCATATAGATTCTTAAGCATGGCAAATATTGGATATCACTTCCATCAACTCAGAAGACAGTGAGATAGAATCAGGGTTTAATGAAAGGAACTGGCAAGGATTGTCTTCTCATAAATAGACACTGGTGGATGGACATGAACACCAAGACCACCATTTTGAGAATGAAGACGCTCTCTCTGGGACACCCCTTTTGTGGCAGGATCTACAAGATGTTCTCCAAAGCCCCAAAGTGCCCACCCTGGTTCTAAAAGTTTAGAGGGACTTTCTGTTCCATTTTGGGAAGGATATATTGGTTCTCTGTCCTGCGCAAGTTTAGTGAAGGTAGACTTTCAAAATGCAAGAGAAATAACCAGTCTCCTCCACATGTTAGGACAGCGAGGAAGAATAGGTGGAGTCTTCTTCACCTTGAGGAGGATTTGGGGTGGCTGAAGTTGGCATAACAGGGAGATGTGGACCTAGATGCAAAGCGTGCAGCTGTTTTCTTAGATAAGGTTGATGATCCCACCCAACTATCCAGAAATCTGGCAGGCTGCTCAACCTGGCCTGTCTCTTAAGGTTCTCACTGATAGGGAGTATCAATCTTATATATCTGCTGAACTCCTCAAAGTTGGGCGTATCCCAGGCTTTGCTCATTTGGGATTCAACTGGGTCATTTCCCCCGCCCTGAACCTCTTTTGTTCAAAGCCAACTGTAATCAGTGTCTGATTCATTCAGAGTGGTGCACCAATTTGGCAAAGGCGTGGAGATAGCCTTCGTATTTGACAGGTGAGGGAGATAATTTAAGATGGTTTTCATAGTTTTTTTTTTATAAAAAAACCGCCCTCCAGTTGGTTGTGTAAAGCCACACACAGCAGATGGTTTCTACCGAGAAGAAGTTGCTCTGGGTTTGTGAGGCAGAATCCCACATTCAACGGTTGATCTTGCTTTCTGTTATGAAAACAGCATTAGCATAGCTAGAATAATTTCAACTTAGTAGAATGCTGAGAAATGTATTCTTAACCTTCCTTCTCTGCTTTAATCATCCTTTAACCTATTCTTCACTACTGGCCACCCTATAAGGTAGACCAGACCAAGAAACCAATGCTATATAGGTCTAAAATTATACAGGTAGTCCTTGACTTACAATTTACTGAGTAACCATTCAAAGTTATGACATCACTGAAAAAAAGTGAGCTAGGACCATTTTTCACACTTATGACCATTGCAGCATCCCCAGGGTCATGTGATTTACATTTGGATACTTGGGAACTGACTCATATTTATGATGGTTGCAGTGTCCCCCTGGGGTCACGTGATCCCCTTTTGCGAACTTCTGATGAGGAAAGTCAACGGGGAAACCAGATTCACTTAACAAACATGTTACTAAGTTAACAACTGCAGTGATTTGCTTAACAAATGTGGCAAGAAAAGTCGTAAAATGTGGCAAAACCCACTTAACACATTTCTCACTTAGCAACATACATTTTGGGATTCATTGTGGCTGTATGTAGGGGACTGCCTCTGTTATCTGAACAGAGATAGTAACAGAATCTTGCATATTTGTCCTTCAAGGCCATTCCCGGAGCCCTCTAAATCTACTTTTAATTCCAGAATTGACCATCTCTAGTTATTGCCAACCACGAATAACGTCTTCTCTGTAAGTTTGCCCTCCCTGCTTTGAAGGTAGTGTCCAAAACTGTGTGGAGCATTAGTAAATTATTTAATTTAATGAATTGCAAAGCGGATGGGAAGCTCAGGATCCCAAATCATCTGCTCTTCAATTTTGTTGAGTTTTCAGATGCAGTTGGGCGTCTTCAAGAAATGGAACCAAGAGATCTCCAACAAATTCAGATGCATCTGATAATTAAGAACAACTGGAGTAAGCATGACATGTCTGGGATGGTACCCAAGGTGTTTACACAGCTGTGCATAACTGAGATACTCCAGTATTTAAAGTATTAAGGCTAAAAATCCATTACCCTTCTTGGGTAACCTTGTTGGGTGGAGTCATTATTATCCTGAACATGGAAGAGAGAAAAGGTGAGCAAACACACAACCCAGCAGTTGTTTACTACTGTTGCATTGGTAATCAATCGTTGGGGGAGTCCACCTCAGGTGATTTCTTCATCCTAATTTCTTTTCAGGTGTCAATGGTTGGCATTGAGCCCGGTGGTGAGTCATGCTCAGCTATTGGTGGACCAAGAGGTATAAGAAGTTTGACACGCAGCACCTTCCTTCAGCATCTCTCTGGAGTCTTTCGATCCTTCCATCAAGAAGAACGAGGTAAGTCAGAGCAGATGTCTTCTACCCTAAGATCAAGGTTGATCTGAATGAAGAGCAGGTGATGTCTTTGAGATGGGTTCCATAACTTCACTTCTCTTGCACCTTCTTCATGTCTTTGGGTTCTGAGGATCTGGCAATGTTTCCAGTTAGGAGATGTTTAGAAGGAGATTTAACCAATGGCTACTCTTCATTGAAATGATTGGATGGATGCTTTCGTTTGCACCTCTCTTTTCCCACATCAGCAAAAGAAGTCTGTCCTTTCTTCATGTTTCTAGAGTTTTAAGACCGTGAGGAACCAAGGTAAGATAGATGCCCAAGCTGGACCATTCACCATCACAATAAAGACAGTAATGGTTTTGAAGAACCTCAAGTATTGGTCCAAGTTTGATCCTCCAGATCTTGTTGGAAAGAACTCCCTTCATCCTTGGTCAAATTGAGGGGAGATGGACTTCGATATCTAGACTAGATAGTGGGTAAACAAAGGAGGACAATTCTCCTCTTCCTTTAAGAACTCTATGTCCTGTATTGATTCTATTCCTGAATTCTATTCCTGAATTAAGTGAATTAATTCTGAAATCGGGTAATGCGTATTCCACAGTACTTCTGACTTTCCCTGTCTTCATTAGTATTCTTTCTACCAACTGCATCAGCATGGAAACTCTTCTCATCTGAGAGAAACTTCTGCTGAATTAAGCACTTTCCTCTTGCTCTTCTCTTTCAGAGTAACAGTCCTCCCACTATGATGTCTGAGTGCTATGCCAGCTGTCCTGCCTCGACGGTCACAATTCAGCCGCCTCCTTTTGTCCTAAATATTCCAGGACCAGCATTATACTGCCCTGACCAAGTCTTTGGCATTGAACAACACAATCCATGTGCAGGCTTTGGTGGCGTGGTGGCGAGAGGTGGCGGTGGCATTGGTATTGAGGGTACTGTTGGAGGAAGTATGGGTGCTTTGGGTCCTGGAAGAGGAGGCTGGGGTGGTAGCTGGAGTGATGGAAGCGGAGTAGGGAGTAGGATGGGTGGTGGTTTGGGTGCTGGTGGAGTAGGAGGTGGTGGTTTGGGCATTGGAGGACTTGGAGGACGCAGAGGTAGTGGTCTGGGCTTTGGAGGACTTGGAAGGCCCACAGGTGGACCCACAGGTGGTCATCTGGGCATTGGAGGACTTGGAGGACTCACAGGTGGTCACCTGGGCATTGGAGGACTTGGAGGATCCACAGGTGGACACCTGGGCATTGGAGGACCCAGAGGTGGTGGTCTGGGCATTGGTGGACCAAGGGGTACCACAGCAGGTTTGAGTGGAGGTAGCGGAGTAGGGGGCACTATGGGTGTTCGCAGAGGCAGTGTTGGGACTGGCAGCATCGCTGACGGTGATTTAGGCACTAGGGGAGTTGAGAGCATCAGACATGGTAGTTTGAGCCCTGGTGGAAGAAGGGTCACCACAGGAAGTTGGAGTGGAGGTAGCGGAGCAGGGGTTAATGTGGGGGGTGGGAGAGGGAGTATCGGAATGGGAGGCACTATGGGTGGTGAAGGTGGAGTAGGGAGCAGCACAAGTGGTCGCAGAGGCAGTATTGGAACAGTGAGTGTCACTGGTGGCGATTACGGTCTTAGCGGAACAAGGGGCAGTATGGGAGGTGGCTGGACTAGTGGCCGCCGAATAAGTGGAAGCCACCGACATGGTGGTAGCATTAGGTACCACAGTGGTGGATATGGTAATGGTTATGGCAGTAGTGGATGGAGTGGCTTTGGCAGTGGAGCATACGGTGGTGGTAGCGGACATGGTGGTGGTTTCAGCAGTGGCAGATATGGTAGCTGTGGATATGGAGGTGATTATGGTGACACAGGATATGGTTCTGGATATGGAGGTGGCTATGGCCACACAGGATATGGTTCTGGTGGATATAGACGGATAGGATACTCTGTTGGTGGAGGATACAGAAGTGGTGGCTTCAGCAGCAGATCTTATGGAGGTTCCTATGGAGGCCCTTCAAACATCTACTCCCACTACTGAACATGGAAGAAATAACTCAGAGGTCCCCAGACAACTGGAGAAGAAAAACATGAAACTGAATGCTATGTTTAGACTGATGGACTTAAGACAGAACCATTGTCTTCTAACAACACAAACTCAGGTCTGAAAGTTTCAGTTGACTTCTGCGTCTTCCTGTTCTCTCGTCTGATGGCACCCCAAAAGAGAGTTAATTTCCTTTTTGAGTTCTGCTGGTACTTTCTGGACTGGAAGAAGTGGTAGAAGAAGAGGACCTAGCCTGGTGGGAAAATGGAGATGTATTATTCCTACAGACTCCAAAACTGTGTTTGTCTAGAATCCAGAAACACTCAATATATATGTATTTATAAGCAACAGGTATCTGCTACAGCAAGTTAAAACTCATGTTTCGGCTTAGCTACCCTGAACCTAGCCTGCAGCTAGAATTGAACCAATGCTTCGTTATTTCTTTTGTTCTTCTGATTAAATTTCCTTTTGCATCATACATTTTTCTCCTCTTTGTTTTCCTCCTACATTCTACCAAGCGTCCCCAAACTGTTATAAACCACAAAGTTGTTTGAAATTGGAGGGTGGGGTGATGGGGTGGAGGAGAAGACATGATTTTCGCAAATAAGAAGCATATCAAATAGTGCCCAAACAGATTTGGACTGCAAACCTCCAGTTGACCACTAGAGGGCCCGAAGAGAGAGATGAAAAATGTTTTGCTTCCCGCTAACGATCATTTCCCAGCCCAGATCTAGAAGCTTTACAAAGAAATCCAAAGCTTGATCTCTTACTTCTAAATGAAGAAATGGCATTCAAGATATTGGCTAAAAGAAAATCATGGGGAGGAAATACTAGATTTTGCTGGAAAGAAAACTGGATCTGTAGTTACAGGAGGAGAAGAATTGGACTCTTCATACAAACGTCTTTAGACATTCCAATAGTCCAAATTGTCTCAATTTTGCAAATACCAGCTGTCACCACAAGAGGGTGCAGTCTTACAAATGTACCAGGCTGCATAGAAATTATTTATTTATTTATTCAGCTTGGAGAATTTTGAAAGATTTTTTTTTTTTAGCCACTGCTCATAAATCACAAGGGACTTAGTTTCCTGGTGACCTGCCAAGCAGAGCTCAAAGATCTGAAGAGAGAAGAAAAGATCCGAAACCTTCAGCTGTTTAGAAAAATAACAACAATCTTTTTGAAGCGAAATAGTCTTTTCCTCCCCCCCCCTCCCTTTGGTTCATATTTCTTAAACCCCAGCAAACCCCAAGAGGCTGTCATCTAATTTAGTCCCTGATTTTCCGTTTGTGTTCAGAGGGGTTTAGGATTCTGGTCATGGAGAATGTATGCTGGAATAAAGACCTAGGAGTTGCATTTGATTTATTTAGATAAATCCTCAATTTCATTTCTGGATAATTGTAATCCGTGTGTCTTTCTAAACTGCCCCTATTTGCCTTTGAAAGAAGTGCAAGAGGTAGGGTCTGTCTACGATAAAATTCTCCATGGAACTGGTTTAAGGGCGAAAGTAGTCTCACTTTCCAAGTTTATAATCTCAGAGGCACGACAGGCGAGGAAAAAGCGATGCGGATGGTAAAGGGGAAAAAAAAGCAAATTGGACACCAGTTTTTCGAGCTGCAATTCTTATCACAACTTGTTGGGATCATCGCATTTCTGAGAAGTTGATTGGAAGATGAGATATTGAAAAAGGAAATTTTTTTTAAGGAAAAGTGCCCTCCCTGTTTTAAGTAAATTTGTTTTGCCTTCCAGGATTATGCGGTCTACCACAATGATGTAAGATACATGCTATTTGTTTATTTAAAACCGTGGTCCTATATTTAAGCATTTCAGAACAGTGTTACAGCACTGATGTAACGTAGGAGGGAAGCCAACAATTAAACGAAGTCATTTAGATAAAAACTAGACAGGAGCCAAACCACAATTTACAATTCTCTTCCATTCTCTGGAATGAAATTAATTAGTAAACAGTTTTGGAGAGGAATTTTAAAATAATCTACTGGGCCCATAACTGGCTAGAGCAATGTTTCTCAACCTTGACAATTTTAAAGTGTGTGGACTTCAACTCCCAGAATTCCTAATCAGCTACTGATATTGAAACACACTTAAGTCAGCAAAGGTGTGTAGCAGGAAATTTCTCTGCTGCCTTTTCTTGAAATTATCAGTATTTCCAAAATTTCTGTCTGTGTTTGCTTAGGATGTGGGAGTATGTCTTGACAAGCTATGTCAAATAACAGATCAAGGCACTTTTCAACTGTGTTTCATTTCAAAAGAACTATGTTTTATAAAGTAGATTAAATGCTGGCAGATGTTCCCCTGGTAAATCCATTTATGATCATCCAGAGAGGTTATGGATCACATGTCCAGGACTTCTGCAAACTCAACAATTCAGAGTAGTTTGTTTGCTTGTTTCATTCTTCAGTTGACCATTGGATGGTTTAGTAGGTCTTCATAAACCCATCTTTGTAATTCGATATTCAATAACATTACGGTGTACACCAGAAACTAAGCTTAAAAAATAAATATGGTTTTGTGCAGTGGGTGGATGGACCACATCTTCCATGTAGGTGTGGAACAGTGAAATTGAAGCATGTGCAAGTGAAAAACTTCCTAGTATTTCTCCATGAGGGTCCAGTCAAGCTTAAGAGCTACGTGATGCAACACCTTCCAGAAATCTCTGAAGGCATAGCCAAGTTAAAACCAAGTTACTTTTTGGCTTGACCCATGAGTGAGCACAACCCCAAATCCAGATTGTAGAAAATTGGGGCCCTAATATCTCAGACTTCCTGTCCATAAACAGGAAGTGCCTGACTGGAACATCCCATATGAGAAGTTGGGTGGTGGAATTCCATCACCACGTTAGCTGGAAAAGATTTGTTCTATAAAACAGATTTGTCTAGTGGAGTGTGAATGCTTACTAGTATTACACAATTTACATACTCATTTGCATTGGCAGTTTTAACGCTTTGGGAGTGAGGGAACATTGATGTTATAACCTCAAGTATTTAAATAACCAAAAAGAAGGAGCTAGACGTCAAGACATTGGATCTTATACAAGGTTCCTCAGAGTTTACACAGTAAGAACATCTCTGTTCAATCAGCCCTGTTTATTTTGAGCAATTCCAAGAAACAAGAAAGCCCCACAAAGCAGGGGATAAACATGAAGTAAGCATCTTACTGCAACAAAAGCTTCCAATAAACAAAATCAGATCAGGCTACAGTAGGTCTTCAGCTTCCTGAAAGATCACGAAACAAACCAAGATAGTTGCAATTTTTCCTCCCATCTAGAACCAGTAAATACTGGGACTGTAGGGAGTGCTTGGCAGAGCTCTGGAGTAGAAGCTGGAAACCCGATTTGTTTGCTGGGCATGGCGTTGGTTGTTGATGGCACACGGATTGTGTTGCTCAATGCACAGTGACTGGTCAGGGCAGCAGATGGTAGGACCTGGGATGGTGAGGATAAAAGAAGGTGGCTGGACTGTCACCGTTGAAGGAGGACACGAGAAGGTGCAATGGTCCCTCATGTTGGAGCCAGCAGACATTTTGAAGTTCAGTGACAGATCTGCAAACAAAGAGACTCGGATCCTTTAAGATGCATGCCGCACATTGCAAATATGTGCAATTAAGTGATAATTTACTTTGTTTTCAGAGTTTGGGAAATGCACAATAGGGTGACCTTCCGAATGGGCTGGGTTTCATTTAATGCCTTTCTTGATTTTGGAATTTTTGATTGCTTCCACCTCAGAGGACTTTAGAAAGAATCGCAGCAAGCGACGCTAAGACAGACAATAGGGACAATAACATCCAAGCCGTGTGTAGATTATGAATCATCCTGAAAACCAAATTTACACAAGCTTGGGAGTGGGAAACACCCTTACCTGCAAAGAAACATCTCCACAAGACATTTCTTCTCTCGTCGCCTTTCTCAATAGGTAACAACCTTCAACCGGCATCTTATAATTACCTAAGCCCTGATCCTGATTGGGCTTTATAGGTGAACAGCCTAAGTCACCCACATCCACCACCAAAACCTAACCAAGTTTAATCCTAATCCTATATTAATACAGCTGCGTTAGCAGTCTTGGACAGAGCCTAGAAGGTCTTAGTTGGACCTGATGAAAAATCTAGGCTTTTCAACACCATGAGCAGAGATTGAAATGGTGACACAGCAATGACTTCATGTTTTGGAAGGTGGTGGAAACATGAAGTGGCTGTGGATAGTTTTGTTCTAGAGATGTAAGATGGATCTTGGAATTTTGGACTGATCCATTCTAGGGGCCAAAGGAATTGCGTTTTAGGGGATAATGGAATGGACTGTGATGTTCTACATTCATCTAAACCTTGAGTCCCTCATTCTAAGGTTTTATTCTTTCTTGTGGAGAAGAAACCCCAGATCATTAAACTTCTTATGCCGATTTCCCTACCTTTAAAACCAAAATCAGATTCAAGAAGCTCTTGGCAGCTACGCAATCACAATTTATTCTCTATTGAAGGACAGTACAATTACTAGAACACGAGAAGAGACATCTTCTCATCCTAAGAGACATCACCAAACATCTTCCTGCACCTAAACATAGAAACGCACCAAGGAAATGCCCCAGATTGTGAAGGTACTTACCTGAATCCTCAAAGTAGATGCGAAGATGGAAGAAAGTCTGCGGGATGAACTCTTTATAGCATTCATCTGACAGCCTGGGGGCACGTTTGAGAATTTTGTTTGGGATGGTGGGATTGTTGTCTTGCTGAGTCGATAAATTTTCACGAGGAACTCCCCAAGGTTCTTTAAAGCTAATAGCTCCCTGTCTCTGATGATACAAATATGAATACTTAATTCACAATCATCTTCCAAACTCAGCTGAACAGCATGATTGGCCAACCTCATTTCCAATGGAATTATTCTTAGAAGCAACATTACTTCATCACCTGAAATTGCTTTTTAAGCAGGAATACCCAACCAACAGATGTGGTGCCAGTAGTCCTCCAGATTATATGTTTTGCTGACATCCCAGAATGAAAATGTTGGCCTTAACATTAAGAAGAGAAGATGCTTTCACACGTCAAGAAATCCTTGGGATGTACAGAATAACAGTCTGAAGGGACCTTGGAGGTCTTCCAGTTCACGAGGGAGACCCTAGACCATTTCAGACAAATGGTTGTCCAATCTCGTCTTAAAAACCTCCAGCGATGGAGCACCCACAACTTCTGAAGGCAAGCCATTTCTTGGGTCTGTTCAGACCAGTCTCGTTGTAATTGAATAAAGGGCTCTCTAAGTTTTCAGAAAGGAATATTTATAGTTCTAAAGAAGTTCTGGTTGAAATCTAGATGTTCTTCAGTCAGTGGAGAGGCCCCACCAGATTTGTATATTTTTTGAAATGGAAAGAAAAATAAGAAGCAGAGTCTTATAACTATGTACAATGAGTTATTTACCAAATGAAACAGTGACCATATTTATCATCTGTAGTGGCAAAAGCAGGTCCATTGGTTTGGATTTAAGTAAAATACTGTCTTCTTGACTTCAGAATTCACCTGTCACATTCAGGAGAACACACCTTTGGATACTGGCCAAAACAGAACTGCTGATAACTTGATTTTCTATGAATTTATTAGTCTCTTCTTTTAATATCACGAAAGTAACCATTTTCATCAATCTGTGGGAGCAATTTTTATCAGTTGTCTACCTGCTGGATGAATTGATCCATACTTGTACGCCACCTACAAACTCAACACTGACAATAAATGGCATAAAATTGCAAAGGACCCCAGTACAATAGTTGGTGGTTAAAGTCAACTAATTCAACAAAATTAAAGCTGAAGGAAGACCAACATGATGTGCAACAGAAGATCAAGTCTTCAACATTCAAAGAGTTGGATCTTTACCACTTCTGAAATCCAGATGAGGGTCACCTGGACCTCAGGAGGACATTTGTTCCATGAGGTTGGGACTGCCACCAAGTGGGGTGATGGAACTATCTCTGGGCTCCTGTCCTCCCTAACCTCATAACCTATAGTACCCCACATTATCTTCTCTATCTAGTTGACAGCTTGACCCTCACCCTGAACCATTTCCAGATGTTCCCCTCCCAGCTTAAAACACCCTTCCTGAATTTAGGACGTTTTAAGATAAGAGCATTGAATGCAGAAGAAAATAAAATATTCCAATTTGTTTACCCTTCCTCCTTAGAGGGAACCGTAGGACAAACCAAGATAAAGCAAGTCTAGAAACATCTCTCAAGTTTTTATCTTTTCCTATACCTCCCAGGAGATAATTTCCTTGTGGGAGAAACCTCAAATTATAGCAATGAATTGCCCAACCTATTTATGAACCCAGGAGTCTTGCAAATCTCAAGATAATGATATGTGAGTGTTACACCCTCCTGCTACTTCCTTCCAACTGACTCAAACCATGCTCAAATATTGTCAGCTTTCATCTGTGGTTTGTCCAATGACAAGAATCAAGATGAAGAGACAAATATCTGGTACTTCCTTGAGTTCTGGATTAAGAAGGGAGGAATTAAGGTACGTGGTCCTTCTCCCTTCAAAACACCATCAGTTGCACATCCAGATAAATGTTGGTATCCTCAGCTCATTGAAATTTGAACTGACCCACACCAGAATGGCAAAATAAGAAAGTTGGTGGATCATTCTTGACCTCCTTGACTTTTTCAGGAATTCCAGAGAAGGTCTTCACAAGTTGCTTGATGGAATCTCAGCAACATTTTATTCAAGCTAGTTCTTTCTTCCAGGTTAGACATATCCGTATCTAACAAGGAAACTCCATAAGCCTCCTTGACTACCTTCAAAATTGCTCCAATTAGTTAGCAGGGCCTCCCTAAATATTAAATATTCATTCAATGCTACCTGTTGGGTAGAATAATTTCACGGCAGCCCACAGATTTTTATCATTCAAAAGCTGAATCATTAAAAATTAAAAAGCCACACTTAAGCTCTCTAGTTCTACAGGGAGCAAAGATTAGATTTTGGGGAAACAATCCAGATAAAAACATTAACAAGTTTCTAGACCGCAGGACTGTTGGGAAAAAAAATGTGGTTTTAGAAATACACGATATAAATTTGTATGACTCTAGGCCTAACAACAGAGGAGCCACGTCAAGTATTTTAAATGTAGTACATTTGAGCCAAATTGGACTTGTTTGGGGTTATAAAAATATTATATTCCATTGAGATTTCAGGCATTTGAGAATATAGTTTGTTTAGCAATAGCAGAGGGGTTGATATCTGGAGCTGAATTATGATCAAATAAGACCCTTGGGCATTTCTTAAATGATTTGCTGCAATTGTATTATAGCAATGGTGGATGCTCCATCACTGGAAGCTTTTAAGAAGAGACTGGACAGCCATTTGTCTGAAATGGTATAATGGTATATGGTGAGCAGGGGGTTGGACTAGAAGACCTCCAAGGTCCCTGTCCAGCTCTGTTTTTCTGTTAACCTGTTCATACATTTGCAAAGATTAATCCTTAATATCTGATTCTCAACCTTCCAGATTTTTTTAAAAAATTATTCATTCATTCATTCATTCATTCCTTTATTCCTTTATTTAATTTAATTTAATTTAATTTATTTATTTATTTACCTCCTTCTAATTGCTTTGCTTGAACATTGTTGGAGGTGCACGGAACTCTATTGTACAAAACATTCCTGCTATAAACTGGTTTCTACAGAAAGATTAGAGGTAATTCAAAGGAATGAAGATCCCTCCCATCGAACACTCATCCCCTCCCCAACTCAAAAACAGAGAAACTCAAGAAACAACCAAACAGCTTTAGCGAGGGATTGTTTTGCCATCGTTTGGACCTGAGGCCCGAGTAAGAACATCGTCGCTTTGGTGTTGATGGTAGTCTCTACAAAATGTTCTCCTAAGAGTGAGCTGAATGCAAAAAAAATGGGTCTACGTTGCAAGGTTATGGGGCTTAGTGGTGATGTTCAATAAGCTTCGCTTTCCAACTTTTATGGAAAAACTGTGGGTCAGAGTTTTGGTTGAGAACCTGAGGAGATATTATGGATCAAGGTTATAGAAGACCTATCATATGGATTCCGTTTTATTTTCAAATGGATTTATCCCAAATTTGCACTCTTTTTCCAAAGGGATGGACAATTAGGGCAACTGAAACTGTCCAGATGGAAGTGGATACTATCAGGTTTCTCCATCTTGCAGGAGATATGGAGTATGCTAGCTTTTAGATCTCAAACTTGGGATCTAAAAATGACCCCAAATGCACTTTTTAAAAAAAATAACTGGGAATGAGATGGAAATGTTTCAAATACGGGAAGGGGTTAAAATGCGTAAATGGCCTTTCCCAAGAGCCTAGAACCTCTGGAAACTCTAAAGGTTTCCATTAGTTGCTTAATAAACAAAACAGACAAAGTTTTGGAATGCAACCTTAGAGATTTTTTTAATATGAACAAAGACACATGAGAACATGTTTTACAGGATGAACATTTGACTGCAAGGATGGACTTCCATCCCCAGAACTGGGTTTTCCTCTTGTCAACCTTCCATAGGTCCCCTTTCAACCAGCTATGGAATCATATCCGATCTGTACAGAAGGATCTTTCTCTGTTTTGGGAATTCAGTGGAAGGGTAACCAGAGTCTGGTGGCTTGTCAAACGTAGAGAGGAAAGGAGTTAGGTCTGGCTTAGATGTGAATGTGGAAAGAAACAGGTGTATCATTGTAAATGGTCAACTGGCTGGCTTCCAGAAAGTCCACTGATGGAGAAGGACTTCATCGTCATGCTCAGGGGGGTTAATAAGATGACCGATAGGTGGAGGAGCTGAAGTTGGCACTCGGCAAAGCTTGGGAATAGAAGCTGTTGAAGTTGGAGCCACCCCTTGTCAAGGGCAAAGGATATGCAGCACATGGGTTGTGCTGTTCAATGCCCAGAGGCTGGTCAGGACAGTAGAGGGCAGGTCCTGGGATGGTGAGGACGAAAGGTGGTGGCTGGATGGTCACAGTTGAAGCTGGACATTGAGCGTAGCATTCGTTCCACATTGAACGGCTGGCAGCCATCTTAGGATGTTGGAGAGAGGCTGAAATGAGAAGAATCAGGACCAAGAGGAGAAGTTATGAGAGGTGAGGACCACAGTCAGAAGAACATCACCACCAGGATGGATGGGGTTGTGTCCTCAATGTTCTACTGAAAAGAGATCTATGGATAGAAAGGCTCCAACAGGTACTTATTACAATGGAAACTACCAAAGATAATTTTAAAAAAGTTTAGAAAAAGGCAGTGGATATAGGAGGGAGAATGTATTAATAATACATTTTGCTCTCTGATGTATGGAACAGTTCTGTAATAATTTAATAATCATGCAGGATAGTGCAATATAAAGTACTGGACAAACCAGTGTCCATCTCTTTGAAATATATATTTATGCATAATATTATTGCCTTAGAACATACCATATATTAAAGGATATTTTATACCCTGCATAAATACATCCCTCCACAATATGTATTAACTCTAGAAATATTGAGTATAAAATATGTATTGCATAAAATATTGTATAAAATGTTGCATTAACATGCCACATACATTAGCAGATTTTGTAAAATATATTGCATTAGAAAACAAGGGCTGTTTTATGCACAGCATATATTAATGCAATGTGCAAATAATACGCATTTCTCTAGAGAACGGAGTAGAATTTCTAATATGAAATATGCATGACATGATAAAATATTGCCTAAAATGTTCTGTTCAGCTGCTGCATATATTTATACAATATAGAAACAATGCATATTGCTCTACAATAGATCTTTGTTATATCGCAATATATATTACACAAGACATTATTAAGAGTAGAAAAGATTATCTTTAGAGATTGCCTTTGTTGCTTGGTATAATATCCATCTCTTATAGTCTTAATCTTCATCTCTGGTTTGGGAGAACTGCTATTCCTGTGCTTGAAAAATATTAGCTCCTGGGGAAGGGGAAGAGGAACAGAAGGAAAGGAGAAGGTCTTCTGGAATACGTTGACTCCAGAGATTAATGGTTCTCCTTCGCTGAGGAGAAGATCCAATGCCAAACTCGGGGACAATAGCACCTGGACTATGTCCTGTGTCTTCAGCAGAGGTGGATTCAACTCGCCTTTTTCCCAATCCTAAACCATTCTCCTTCAGTGAAACGTCATCCATGTTCTGGAGGCACTTCTGCTTTTGAAACTCTGCTAGCTTGGTTCCTGACTTTCATCTGCAATTTTCACAAGCTTGGTTTCCCTATCTCCTGACCCTCAGCTTGCCAACCCAAACTCCATCTCTGTCTTCACTGGAGAACAAGGACCTGAAGACAACCCTCCCTCTTAAGCATGCCTTCCCAAGTCCAGGGAAGCTAGAAGGTTGCTCTTAATCCATGGAGTTGAGATCCTCTTCAGAATCCCTCTACACACTTGCAAAGAAACCTTGTAAGAACTTACCGGTTCCCAAAGGGTTTGAAGATGTCAGAAATGAGGAGATGTTCTGAGATGTTTCCTCAAGGAGCCAGCTTTTTATACTCTCAGTTGCATAGCCTCCAGGAATGAGACACCCAGAATGAATTTCCCAACTTGGTGTCACAAGAGAGACACCCTGTAAATAATTCCCCACCCAGATGGTGATTACTAAGCGGTGCAATAAGAAAACAATTTATCCACCCAATTTAGTGACAATTAGGTTTGACCAGCTCAATGCAAGGGAGCTAATGTATGTTACGCCCTACGGATGGATTTAAGAAAAAATGGATGGCTTTATCAAGTGAAAACAAGGAGTTTCCTCTGCTTAACATTCCACAAAATGCTTTTGGATTGGTCACTCATGAGTAAAGATTGCAAGGCCTACTTGGAGCGAAGGAAAAACAAAAATTTGTTCTGGTGGATCAATTCACAGGCAAAGCTCTCTTGGAATAAGATATACCCTCGGAATTGGATATGTCTAATTTAACGAAATGAAGGACTAGGGGTGACATGATAGCAGCATTCCAGTATTTTGAGGGGCTGCCCCAAAGAAGAGGGGGTCAACCTATTTTCCAAAGCACTTGAAGGCAGGACAAGAAGCAATGGATGGAAACTAATTAAGGAGAGAAGCAACCTGGAATTAAGGAGAAACTTCCTAACAGTGAAAACAATCAACCAGTGGAACAGCTTTGCCTTCAGAAGTTGTGGATACTCCAACACTGGAGAATTTAAAGAAGAGATTGGGCAGCTATTTGTCTGAAATGATATAATGTCTTCTGCTTGAGCAGAGTGCTGGACTAGATGACCTCCAAGGTCCCTTCAAGCTCTATTATTCTGTATTCTGTATCTATAAATCAAACAGGCCAAGCAGCAAAGTGAATGGTCAACCATTGTCAGACAAATAAATTATTAAGTGGTTCAAAACCTTTTCTGCTGTGAGTTTTCCCCATGGAAGACTCCAAGGTCCCTTTCAACTCTGTTAATTCTGTTGTTCTTTGCCAAGTCCAATTAGTGATGGGGAATTAATTAATTAGCCAGTTTAATGAATTCATGCAATACAATTCATACAGTTCATCAGTGTTTCAGTTTCCCCACCTCTCCCTCAAGAACTAGCTTGGGGACCTACCACAAAGGCAGGGGCTACATGCCTAAATATGACCTTCAACTTCAGTTGAACTGTCATAAATATCATGCATTTCCCAAGAGGGGACTTGTCTTCTCTTACTATGACATTTGTGGAGCTACAGATTCCACACAGTTTCATGATTGTATCATGAGCAATAGGTAGGTGACACAGTGATTTGACAGAAGCTTATTGTTGCTGTTTGACGTTCCTACAAAAGACCTCACAAGGAGAGAATTAGTTAATGGGTTGATCTTGGAGCAGATACAACTCACTGAGTTGGAATCAAGGCACATTGTTGGCATCAAATACTTATTCTAACCGTGAAAGTTCATCCAGGTGGAAGGGGAATTTGGGGGTGATAAAGAATCTGCTTCAGTGGCAAGAAAGGGCGGAGGGCTTACATGTGGGAAGAACATTTAATACCTCTGGTGGAAAATTCTTTATTTTTTTCTTGTTTTTGAGTTCTCCATCTAGCTGGTAACTAAAAAAAAAATAACCATATAGTTGTAAATCTGAGAGAAACTTTGGCTGAGATCCTGGAGAATTGTAGAACAGAGAGTTCTGGACAAGCTTGGGACACTCATCAAGTCCTGGAAGAAAAACTTTGTAGTTCATGTTGATTTAGGAACCTAGACTGGAATCCAAATACGATATCACTTTTATGGAAGAAACAGAATATTAGGTGAGACCATAAATCAGAAAAGTTCAGAATGAACAAATGGATGAATGAATGAATGAATGAAAAATGAATGAATGAATGAAGGTCCAGAATGGATGAATGGATGGATGGATCAATGAATGAATGAATGAATGAATGAATGAATGAATGAATGAATGAATGAATGAACAAACAGAAAGGTCTAGAATTAAAGGAAGGATGGATGGAAAATCAAACCAAGATACCACCATCTCCAATAGTTATGGCTTCTAGCTAACCAATGTTACAAACTCTGAACGGACAATAATTTATCAAATATTCGCTAGCTGTTTTGAAGTAGAGGCTAACTCATAACTACAGCAATGGATTTCAATCAAGGATTCAGCTTGAATTTATTTCTCTTTTTTTCATTAATGGAAGGATGAATGTCTGGTGAGACCATGGTGACATCTCTCTGATGATGACTTCCAAAGGTAGTTTCAGTAGCAAGGTTGGCCTTAGATCCCTCCTAATTTTGTGATTCAATCTCAGATAAAATCATAGAGATATTGTGTTAAGAAGAGCCAGATGGTTGGTATCTACTAACCCTACCTTCTTAGAAACCCAACCCAGAACATAAAGAGATGTCATCACTTTGCATCAATTATCTGGCTCCACAAAACTGTGACTCACTTGCTTATTGATCAATACTGAGGTCTAAGGAAAGGCTTAGTGACTTGAAAGAGCAAGAAAGAGCATTCTTAAGTAGAACTTCCTTCAACTTCTGGAGAATGAGACTTCCTGTTAAAGAAAGACCTTTCTTAGTCCTCCTAAGGCATTCTTGAAGCAGTTTATGGTTGAGTCCTAACTCAAATGCAACTCATGTCAATTGAATCCTAACTTAATTCAACTTACTTCTATTGAGTCCTAACTCAATTAAACTCAACTCAATTCAATGGAGTCCTTACTCAATTCAACTCATCTCAATTGAGTCCTGACTTATTTCAATTCACTTCACTTGAGCCCTTCCTCAATTCAATTCAACTCAACCGGGTCCTAATTCCGCTCAGCTCAGTTGAGTCCTAACTCAGTCAAATTTAGCTGGGTCCTAACTCAATCCACAATTCATGGATTTCAATCGGTACATCCAGGCTTATGGTACACTGGATGGACCATAAGCATCCCCACTTCACCATATGTGATTCATATTAAGATATAAGCTAGAATTGGAAGTACTATCAAAACTAGGGATTGAGAATAAAGAAGATGACTTTAAGGAAGATATGGTGGCTAGGTAAAAGAAATATTTCTTCTGTCCTCCATATTCCTTGAACATGGATGAATCAGTAATGTAGTTCAGACAACAATTCAAAATGTACTTTGGGAACGATTGTTAGGAATTCCAGTTAATTCAAAGGGGAGTGGAATATACAATGAACAAAAACTGCACAGGTAAGATATAGAAGGAATCTTCTAGGTCCCATCTTGGACCTTCAAGACCTTGTTATACTACAGTTCTTATCACCTTGATGGATGGAGAAGTTAGAATTGCGATTCCATGCCATTTGAAGAATCCCTAATTGGGAAGGGTGAATTGAAAATGCTTGACTGCATAACCAAGTATAACAGAATAACAGAGTTGGAAGATATTGGAGGTCTTCTAGTCCAACCCCCTGTTCAGGCAGGAAACCTTATACCATTTCAGACAAATTATTGTTGAGTCTCTTCTTAAAAACCTCCAGGGATGGAGCACCCACAACCTCTGGAGGCAAGTCATTCCACTGATTAATTGTCCTCACTGTGAGGAAGTTTCTCCTTAATTCCAAGTTGCCCAATGCTTCTCCGTGATCTTTTTTTCAGACACAACTCCACAATTTTTTTTCTGTAGGATTCTCCTTCTAATTCCCAGATTAGCTGTCAAAATTGCACGGAGGGTTTTATACCACTAATTAGTTTAGATTGCTGGATCATTGGGTGTAACCTAGTTTCATATTTTCCACCATAAAACCCATTCAGATATAGTAAGAGCTACAGATCATGTTGAAGGCCGATGACTATACAGGAAATTGGTCAAGGCTGAAGTTAAGGAGAAGGCGAGTGAAAAACTAGCACAGCAAGGGAATTTTTCCAGAAACGCACTTTCCCATGTTGTATTTCCTGGTGATGGTTCAACCTGTGCTTCCACAAACCAGTTCATGAACTTGTCTTGATGAAGGCTCCTGAAGACTTCCAACTTAACCAGAAACTTCCGGGTTAACATAATTCTTTCTACTGGAGGAATTTTTTCCCCACCTGGTTGCCTCCAGATACAATATAATTCCATTTGCATAATGAACAAAGATTTATGGATCAAAAAACCAGCGTATCTGGGCGATACCAAGATGGAGGTGGCCTTCAAAGAACTTGCTTGCTTTTTGCAGATTTCCAGTAGCGTGCTTCCTTTTAGCTATGAATCCTAACCATCTATTCCCAAAACCTGATGTTTCTTTCCTTCTTTCAGTAGATTTGTCTCATTTACGGAGGTGTAGAATACAACATAGACAAACAGGTCTCAAAATCAGGTGATGCAGTCAAAATCACCCCGTCTTAATCCCACTTTATCCCCATCAAATTCCACAACTATTTAGCTCTTTGTGATGAACTTTTTTTTACTTTTCGAGCCTATCCTATCTACCATTCTTGCTAACTACATGGGAAAATCACATCAGAGGGCAAATCTGGTTAGGGTTAGGGTTAGGTCTCCATGAATCCGGAGAACAATTGCGAAAGGGATTTGTAGTGCATCTATGCTTAGGAGGGTGTTGGCTTTTCAAGATTGGTTTCCTGGTAAAATTCATGGGAAAATCCCATTTCTACTTCCAAGATGTTTTTGGAACTTTTCTCAAAGAAGTTAGAAAAGGGTCTACAACTGAACCAATTGTCATGGTTCCCACAGATGTTACTCTTCAAAGAACTTTGGAGCTAACATTGGATGTTCTTGCTTTGACACCAATCCTTTTATCCACTGAGGTCCATATTGTCTGCTGGAAAACTAGGAATCCCTTCCACCCTCCAGAACTGAGCTTCCATTCCTATCCACTGAAAAAAAGATGTATAAAACTACAGTTGAGCAACTTGGATCAAGAATATTGTCCCTCTTTGCCAAAAGGGACATACCTTCCGAACAACATAAATAAATAGAGGTGAAGTAGCTGAGATAATTTATTTTGGTTTATCCTTGAAATTCAAAGTAGGGTGTGATGCTACCATTCATCCATGGGTCCTAACCCAGAGATGGTGCAACTTTTTCTTCTCTCTTGGGCAACTGAGGTAGATGCTTGTGTTTATTGATGAACGGGTGTCATGGAGAGTCAGATAACAA